ATGTACTATGAATTGTGGGTCGGCCATTTTTATGCATCTAATTTTAGGCTGTTTTGATTCATGTCAGACACATTTTTATATGACCTAATAATAAAACAAGAACTAAAAATTAAATATATTTTTATGTTATGTATACATACTAGATATATAAAAAAATTTCATAACCTAAGAATGAAATGTTGGTGGAGTGTTCGGTGATGGGAAGTTGAAGTGCTTTTTAGCCTATGACTTAGGAATTTCATCTCTAATTATTTATTTATTTGTTTGTTTATTTATTTTTTTTTAGAGAGAGATTTTTGATATAGGGTATATGTGACCACCAGAGAGAGAGACAGAGAAACAGAAAGCAAGAAATCACCTTCTTACCACAGTCCTTTCTCCTCCATTCTCTTCTTTAGATTTTGTGCACACAAGTACAGACACCCAGCATGAGTTTCATGCCACTGGGTCTGGAACTTGAATAATGGTTGGCCATGTGGGAGTCCAGTGGTGTAACCATTATGCCATCTGCTGGTCCCATCTAAGTGTTTTTTAAACTTATTAATATGGCCCCCAAACTGAAAGAACTACATTTTACTTCATGATCCAGTGTACATATATAAAATAAAAGTTTTATAATAATAGTTGTCTTTACTATGTATAATAAAGGTAAACATATAGCAATGTTTACATTAAATGTGAAATTAAACATATTTAAATAATGGAAAAATCCCAAATTAAACGTGGCAAGAAATTAGGAAATAATTTATGAAGTATGTGCTCATTTCATAGGTTTCTTCTTATAGACATAGTTTTTTGGTTTGTTTTTTGTTTTTTGTTTTTGTTTTTTTTTTTAATTAGTGATAGAGTGCTTGGGTGTATAGGTGAAAGAGAAAAAAATTAGTGATAGAGTGTATGGGTGTATAGGGGAGATGAAGGGAGGAAGCACTCTTGACAGCATCTTATCACTACATGTTTCCCTTTCCATAGGTCTCCAGGTCCTCAGGGTCTTGGGCACCCTGCCCCTCTGGTGTGTTTTCAGACCAGCTCAAGGATTTATTCCTTGGTGGGCCATGTGGCTTCCAGCACTGCAGTCAATCATGCTACAGACTAGACTACCTATCCTGGGCCAGACATAGTATTTTGCTAAGAGCTTACAGATATCACCTTGGTATTTTCTAATGTGTTCAATTCTATTTTTTAAAAATGATTGTGATGACTAATTTTACTAGATTGCAATCTGTCAGTTTAAAAAATACTGCTTCAGAAAAATTCTTATTCTTGGGACCAGCAGTTAGCGTAATGGCTATGTCGCTGGACTCCCATGTAGTCGACTGTGGTTTGCGTCCTGGACCTGCTGGCTTAAAACTCACGCCAGGCATGTGTGCATGCGTGCCCAAGATCCCAAGAGGAGAATGGAGGAGAAAGGATTGCGGCGTGGCCATCCCCCTTGGGGGGGTGATTTTTTTGCTTTCTGTCTCTGTCTGTCTGTCTGATGAGTGCACGTACCCTATAGCAAAAACCTCTCCAAAAAAAATAATAAATTCTTATTCTTGTTATCTAGAGACACGCTGAAGAGTGTTCATAGCAGTCTTGTTTATATATCCTTGTCTCTGAAATGGGAAACAGCTGAAATATATACTAACAAGAGATGACTAAATATATTAAAACATATTTGTATAATAGAATAATATTACATTCCCAGGTAGTTGAACTGTAGCTATATCCATAAATATGGAGGAATTTTGGAACATGTATTGAGCAAAAATAACAAGCTACAGAATATATAGTATAGTTTAGTGTATATTAAATTAAAAATAAAATAAACTATATAATATATTAAATAGGGATTTATATGTTTTCAATATATAAAGAAAAACAGGAGAATGATGAGAACTAGAGTTTTAGAATAGTGATTATTCCTGGAGGGAATAGAAGGTATTAGAGGATAAGGGGACATACAGGGAACTTCAAAGATAGTGGTAAAGATGTGTTTCTCAGCTTGTCGATGGTTGAGTAGAGAGCTACTCCTTTTAGGCTTCATTCTTTTTCAAAATAAAATTTGTCCAGAGTGTTCATATGCCCTTAGAGACAGAGAGAGAGAGGAAATAAAAGTGAGAAAGTATTCCACATCACCATTCCTCCTGCTCTGTTTTTTCCCTCCTTTTGGGATTTTGGGTACACATGCCCATGTGCTGCTATGCTTCTCAGGACTTGAATTGTAAGATCAGCCATGTGAATTACAGCTGCTTTAATCAGCATGGCATGGGCTGTTCCTATTCTTTATTCTTTACACACTTATCACAGATTATTACTTTTTTTAGAGAGAGAGATTTTTGCTATATGACACGTGTGCTTGCCAGAGAGACAGAGAGTTACAGAGAGACAAAAAGTGAGAAATCATGCCCCAGAGGGGATGGCCACACCACAATCCCTTCTTTTATCAGGATTTTGGGCGTGCACACATACGCATCTGGCATGAGTTTTAAGCCAGACTTGAACCATTGTTGAATACGTGGGAGTTTAGCAACAAAACCATTATGCCATCTGCATAATACAATAGTAAAGATACACAGATTATTTTTGTATATATTCAGTGCCTAAAATATTTTAAAGTAATATAAAATCAATAATTAACATTAAAGCTTTAAAAATTACAACATAGGTGATATCCTCACTTTATTCCTTAAACTCATCCTACTTTTTATTTTATCCTTTATGTTACCTTCATTTCCCTTTATCCTCAAGTCCTTTGGTGTTTTTTTTTTTTTTTTTGGAGAGATTTTCACTGTAGGGCACGTGCGCTCGCCAGACAGAGAGAGACATAGAGACAGAAAGCGAGAAATCACCCCCCAGGGGGGATGGTCACGCCGCAATCCTTTCTCCTCCATTCTCCTCTCGGGATCCTGGGCACGCACGCACACGCGCCCGGCATGAGTTTTAAGCCACCGGGTCCGGGACACGAACCGCGGTCGACTACGTGGGAAGCCAGCGACATAGCCATTACGCTAACTGCTGGTTCCCAAGTCCTTTGGTGGGTTTTTGATAATGAGTAAATATAAGAATAGAACATAAATTGATATGTAGAGGTTAGAATCAGTGATAGATCAAATATGGAAAAAAGCTCAATTTTTGCTGAGCTCATTACTTAGAAAAGTGTATCTATCTGTCCCAGCCCTAGTGGTGCAAGTGGGAGGATATCACCATGCAGTGGCTGAGGGTGCATGGGAGGCCTGGGTTTGACTCTGGCCCAGTCTGAAGAGGCCTGCTGAAGTGACAGTGCTTATGGTCCTGACTGACTGGGATGGTTTAGTGAGAAGATTGTAACTTGATGAGGCTTTGTCAACAATCTCTCTCTCTTTCTCTCTTACCCACTACTGTGTTGCATACTGGTGCTTACTCTGTCTTGCTTAGTTCAAAAAAATATTTCTATCTTAATGTCTCTGCTCCTCTGTTGACAAGAGGTGGTGCTGATGAGCCTGACTTAGAGACTTCACAAAAACTTGTCAGGCCCAATAGCATGTGCTTAATAAACATTACTTCAAAGGATGGAAGAGTTGACTAAAGTTGAAGTTTAGGAAAGGGATAGTATCAAGATCTGGATTTCAGGTTTAGCGTGTTAATTTGAGGTAGCAGCAAATAGTCCACGTGGGAGTATGGTGCAAAATGCTGAAAATGTGAGATTTATCCATTGAGAGGGATTTAGGGCTGGGTTATGGATTGGATGGTCTTTCAAATAGAGGTAAGACTATAAGCCGGGGGGACGGGGGGAGGAAGGGGAGTAATACACTTTCTGAGAAAAAGACTGTAAAAGGGAAACTAAGAATTGAGTTCATAAGTACATTGACCCATTAGGTATCATTTAGGTATTTCTGGTAAGTGGGAAGATTATTGAATTTAAATTGTATCTGTCTTAATATGCAGAATATTCTGTCTACAGAGAAAGATATTCTTAGTACCAAAACATACTTGCTATTTTTATTCTTTTTTTTGGAGAGAGATATTTTTGCTGTTGAGCACATGTGCTCATTGGAGAGACAGAGAGAGACAAAAAGCGAGAAATCACCCCCTGGGGGAATGGCCGCACTGCAATAACCTTCTCCTCCGTTCTCCTCTTGGGATTTTGGGCACACATGCACATGTACCTGGTAAGAGTTTCAAGCTGCTGGGTCCAGGATTTGAACCTTGGTCAACTATGAGGAAGTCCAGCACCTTAACCACTTTGTCACCTGCTGGACCTGCTATCTTTATTCTTAAAAATAATTTATGCATCATAGAAATATTGGAGTATTCTTCCAAATGATTTTTCACTTAAGAGAAGAAGTAATTCTTATTTTATTGGGTCTTTGGAAAAGTCATTTCATATTTTTCTGTGCAAAAGTGCATCATGTCTTTCCAACAACCCAATAGTTACATACGCACTTTCTTTAATTAGAATGTTTTGTAAAATTTTTTTGTCTCCTGCTACACACTTAAATTCTGAATGTTGGGAACCAGCAGTTAACGTAATGGCTATGTTGCTGGACTCCCATGTAGTCGACCGCGGTTTACGTCCTGGACCTGGTGGCTTAAAACTCACAACGGGCGCGTGTGTGTGCGTGCCCAAGATCCCGAGAGGAGAATGGAGGAGAAGGGATTGCCACGTGACCATCCCCCCTACGGGATGATTTCTCGCCTTCTGTCTGTCTCTGTCTGGCGAGCGCACGTGCCCTATAGTGAAAATCTCTCCAAATAAATAAATAAATAAATAAATTCTGAATGTTTGCTTTCTGAGTATGAATTTAGTGTCCTGTTTTTGTGTCTTTTCACCTTAGTCTAATAAATAGGTACCATACTGTACATTTTAGTTTAAAATCCATGGGTATATCACAGGAAATGAAAATTGTGATAATAGATGTTATTTTGAAAGCCAATTATTCCTAACATTAGCAATCAAAATCTAAAACATTAAAAATAATAAAGTATCTTTTTTTTTATAGAAATACCAGTTCACCAGTAGTTAATTTTTTTTTTTCTTGTAGGGTCAGTCATTATTAAAACAAGAAATAAATGACCTTGTAAAACGGAAGATTGCAGTAGATGAAGAAAATGCATTGTTAAGGAAAGAATTCAGTGACTTGCAAAAGAAGCTTAAAGATAAAAGTCAAGAAGTTAAGGTATGTTGCCTTGTATATAGTATTATAGGACTGTTGCTTTGAAGTCCTGTTTTAAGCTTTGTCAGCCATTGTGGCACAGAAAGTGACAGGCTTAGAGGAAAAATTGCCTTAGGCCTTGCTGTACCATACAGTTTTCTTACATACAAAAACTCTGATACAGATGCTTTAAAGCTAGGACTTCAGCTTTATAACTTTCAGATAAATAGTTAATGATGGAAATGGAGCTAAGAAAGTAGGAGTGTGAATATGTGGCTTCTAGTAATTAGATTCTGATGGGACTGGCATTATTAATTGATAAAACCCAGGTCTGGGAGGATATGTCTGTGTGGGTCTCAAAAATAGCTGGGGACAGCATCAAAGGCAGCTTGATCAATTAATGGGCTCTTTGCAAATGTGTACTCATCAAAGCTGTCATCCAGTGAAAAAATATGACCCATCCACCTGCATGAAAAGAGGCCAATAAAAGTGCACAGGTGACCTTGGCTATCAAATATAGAAGAAGCTGCTGTGAGGGTAAAACTGCACAGTTTATATTTGCTGATTAGTACTCACCTTTGTGTATGTGTGTGTGGTTTTTTGTTGTTGTTGTTTTGTTTATTGGCCCTTGTGGTACTGTTCTACAGAACACTAAGGAGTGTGTACAGAATAAAGAAGAGCAAAACAGACTCGTTATAAAAAAACTGGAGGAAGAAAATGAGAAATTAAGTACCCGCTGTAACGACCTGCTAAATGACCTGGAGAAACTGAGGAAGCAGGAATCACATTGGAGAAAAGAAAAATGTAGCATTGATGCAAAAATAAAGGTATGCCGTGAGAGTGGACTCGACGCTGGTCATTTAGGTCTAACTTTCTATAGGAAGTTTAATACATTTTTTTTTTAAATAACAAGTTATATATTCAAATCCACCAGTGGGGACTAGCATTAATTTATATTCTTTCACTTAAGACCCACAGCTTTTTAAAAATTGATGTTGCAAAGCAGGAAACTGACTTCAAATAGTTACCCTAAAATGTAATCATTAAAAAATAAAAGCTATTGCATTTTAAAATAAAATGTGTTTTGAAAAAACATATTTAGAATCATGGTTTTTGACTATTTTCAGTTAAGGTTTAAATTTATAAATATACTTAGAATTCATTGCAATATAATTTTAAGACTATTTTCTACATTGTCCAAAAAATAAAATGTAAAAAAGTCCCACAAAATAGTTCAAAATAATCATATGTTCTATAGTAGTGCTTTATTTGGCTTAAAAGGACCTCACAATAAAATTTAATTTTTGTAGAAGATAAAATTTATAACCAATTTTTATATTAGTCTATATCCTTTTTGATCAATATTTTAAAACATAATATTTTTTGTGGTACTCTTTTTGTTTTAGATTTCTCTCTTACCATAGATTTTACTGAAAAGGCCAGAAACAAATTTTAGTGATGGTAGATATGATGGTTTTTCAGTGTATATGTAGGTAAAAAGAATATATAGCATGAGGAAATACAAGTATGTATATAGCTGTTTAACAAATATATAGTACATATGGATTTATATGTGTATGCATGTAAGTATGAATATTTAAGTTAGGGGAGAAGGATATGGCTTTCTGAGTGTGTGAATCATTCCATTGTAGATAGTTAGGGAAATATTGGGTTATTGAGAAAGTCATGATACATTTTTGCATAGAAAAACAAAAAAAAAAGTCATTAATTTTCTGATGACCCAATACAGTGTCTATTAATGTACAATCAGCCTGACTGAGCCATTTAGAGAACTGAATTTTGGTGCATTATTTCTTCTTATGTGCAACTTTTAAATAATTTGGTTGTGTGATAAGGGTAAGTTCTATTTCCTTGTATTAATTTGCAGCTATATGGTTGGTTTAATTTTATTTTTTATTTATACCATTCAAATAATCAATTCTGTTATTTAATTTACTCTTTCAGTTCTGACTTTTTCTGTTGGAATATTTCTCTTTTTTATTGATTTCTAATTATTTTTATTTATTTCAATACTAATATATTGTTATATATGTTAAAAAATAGTTCTGTTCCATGAACCTTGAGTATAGTGAATTGAACTTTCAAAAGTTTGTGAATTTTGTTAGAGCGAGTTTTATTATTGGGTCATTAGAAAAGTCATGATGCATTTTTGGATAGAGAAACAGAAAAATATGTCATGACTTTTCTGATGACACAATATTTTTTTTCTCCAATGTTTTTGCTTTGTGAGATTTTTATGATGAAATTTTCCCTGTTGAAAGTCCTTTAATCGAGACAAACTAGCAGATGACATAATGGTTATGTCACTGGGCTCCCATGTAGTCAACCACTGTTTGAGTCTAAGGATGGATAACTTGAAATTCATGGCATGCTGTGCCTAAAATCCTGAGAGGACAATGGAGGAGAAGGGATTGCTGTGGCCATTCCCCATGGGGGTGATTTCTCTCTTTCTGTCTCACTGTCTCTCCAGTGAGTGCATGCGTCCTATAGCAAAAACCTCTCTGGAAAAAAAAAAATCTTTAATCTAGAATTTATTTTTGGGTGTGATATTTTGCATCATTTACTCAATAGTTCACTAATTGTGATGCGATCTCTTTTACATCTCTAAGTTTCCTTTGTGTATGGGTCTGTTTCTGGACTTTGTGTTATTTTCATGTTTTTACATATTGTATGTAGTTTTGTAATCTGACTTTTTTTTTTTTTTGAGAGGTTTTCGCTATAGGGCGCGTGCGCTCGCCAGACAGACAGAGAGAGACATAGAGACAGAAAGCGAGAAATCACTCCCCAGGGGGGATGGCCACGCCGCAATCCCTTCTCCTCCATTCTCCTCTTGGGATCTTGGGCACGCACGCACACGCGCCCGGCGTGAGTTTTAAGCCACCATGTCCGGGACGCGAACCGTGGTCGACTACGTGGGAGTCCAGCAACATAGTCATTACACTAACTGCTGGTTCCCTGTAATCTGACTTTTTGATGGGAAGTCTACTTTATAAGTCATGAACCCCATATATGGTCTTCACTCAATTAGAATACTGTATGAATCATTCTTTTTTTTAAAGGTTTTTGCCATAGGATGTGTACACTTGCCTACAGAAACAGAGAAAGTTAGAAATCACTCCCTGGGTGAATGGCCATTCAGCAGTCCCTTCTCCTCCAGTCTCCTCTTGGGACTTTTGGGTATACAAGGACATGTGCTGGCATGATTTTAAGCTTCCAGGTACGGGACTCGAACTGTGTTTGACCATGTGGGAGTCCAGAACCTTAACCACTACATCACTTGCTGGCCCCACATTTTTATTAATTTTACTGACAAATTCTATTAGGAAGCAGATTAGATCCACACATACCAATTAATTCTGAGATAATTACAGTCCTCCAATTCATGAATATGGACTAAGGTTTTGTAACTTCCTTTAAAATGGCATTGCCCACTTTTATTAAATTTATTTCTAGCTACTAATGTTATTAGAAATAACACTTTTTTAGTAAGTAATGTATTTCCCATTGTATTTAAAAATTGATTATGTCTGTAGTATAGGAATGTAACTTCTTTTATCTTGTGTTTCTTTTTAGCAATTTTACCCGTTTTATCAGTTTTAACATTTATACCTCCTTTTGGGGTTTTCTAAGTTATATAATGACATTGTCAATAATAAAACTTTGCCTCTTTCCTTTTTTAAAGAAGCTTTATTGGAATGTAATTCATATATTGTTTATTTAGTCTACTTAAAAGTGTAGAATTCAGAGTCAGCCTGTGGTCTGGTGGTTACACGTGTAGAAGAAGCAGCATCTTACATGGCTGACTAGAGTTCAAAATCTGGCCCCATTGGCTTCACACTGGGCTCTCGCCTGGATGGCAGGATTCTAATAGGATAGAGAATAGTAGGAAAAAGGATTGACCAGTCTCTGTGGTAGTTGGGGGTGGGAAGGTGCATTCTCTCTTTCTCTCTCTCATATGTTCATGCTTTTGACTGTGAGTGAAAATAAATACTTTAAAAAAATTATTCATTTTTTTGTTATTATTATTTTTTAAAATTTGCTATAGGCTATGAGGACTCACCAGAGAGAGAGAGAGAGAGAGAGAGAGAGAAAGAGAAACAAGCTGCCAGCTCCCTAACTCTCCTGCCAAGAGTAAGTGTTTTTAGTTCTAATTACCTCTTGGTAGTTAACAACAAGCTGCCTCAAATACACTAGAACACAGAGATAAGAGGTAGTTGTTTAGTTCTCATTACTTTGTGTTTCAGAACCATTGGCATAGTTATTTTTTGTTTTCAGTTTAAAAAAATAGTGCTCACCTGCACTCCCTTCATTCTTTCCTTTCTTCCCTTCTCCATCTATCTGCCTACTTCTGTTTCTATCATTGTGTTTTTGTGAATAAATGTGAATTTTAACTTAAAGCCTGGTGCTCACTTTTGGAAATAATGAATATATGGTGTATATGTGGGCATACACTATTTAGATACAGTATTTATTTGTTTCTAAATGAAAGTAATACAGTAGTTTTATAGTATATTCTTTGAAAACATAACATCAGGGGTCAGCAGGTGGCGTGGTAGTTGGTGTGCAGGACTCCCACATAGCCTATTGCAGTTTGGATCCTGGACCTGGTAGCTTGCTTTCTCACTTTCCCTCCCTCTCTCTTACTCTGTCTCCCTCTCTCCTTCCCCCTCTGTCTCTCTCTGGTGAGCACAAATTTAAAAAAATAAAAAGATAATAAGATTAAATTAATAATTTTTTTTTGAAGATGTTTTCGCTATAGGGCGCGTGCGCTTGCCAGACAGACAGAGAGAGACAGAGAGACAGAAAGCAAGAAATCACCCCTCAGGGGGGATGGTCACGCTGCAATCCCTTCTCCTCCATTCTCCTCTCGGGATCTTGGGCACGCACGCACATGTGCCCAGCGTGAGTTCTAAGCCACCGGGTCCGGGACACGAACCGCGGTTGACTACGTGGGAGTCCAGCGACATAGCCATTACACTAACTGCTGGTTCCCAAATTAATAATTTTTTTAAAAAATAACAAACATTGAGATCATTTTAAAATGAAAGAAAGATTTAGAGAATGATCTGGAGGAAAAGACTAATTTTGGAGAACTTTAAGTTTTTATTATGTTTGATTATAAGTGCTCTAATTTTAGGCCTTTGAAGATAATTTGATTGAAGCCAGGAAAGAAATTGAAGAGTCACAGAGTAAATACAATGCTCTATCATTACAGTTGAATAATAAACAGACTGAACTTATCCAAAAGGATATGGATATTACCCTGGTCAGGCAAGTATCTTCAGTTTTAAATTTAACATTATAGAGACATCACTAGTCATTTAAAATGCAGCATTTTAATTACTGTTGGCATCTTCTGAAGTGACAACAGTACATATTCTAGGGTGCATATGTTTGTACATTGAATATCTGGAATTACATATGCTAAACAAGGAGTAATTATCTGGGAGAATATGGGGGTCCACGGGTTTGGGAGAGCATGGTCAAGGAGTAACTTTGTTTTAGCTTTTAAAAAGGCAATGCATCAGTCATTGCATCCTAGGAATAAAATTTCCAGCCATATGTTTATGATATTCATGTTGTCATAATGAACATTAATAGCTGAGAAACAATGTTGACTGTTTATTATTTTCTATATAGTTTTAGTTTATGAGTTATCTTTCTCTATCAACATAATTAATTTTTTTGAGAGGTTTTCGCTATAGGACTTGTGTGCTTGCCAGACAGACAGAGAGAGACATAGAGACAGAAAGCGAGAAATCACTCCCCAGGGAGGATGGTCACACCGCAATCCCTTCTCCTCCATTCTCCTCTTGGGATCTTGGGCACGCACGCACATGTGCCCGGCGTGAGTTTTAAGCCACCGGGTCCAGGACGCGAACTGGGGTCGACTACGTGGGAGTCCAGTGACATAACCATTATGCTAACTGCTGGTTCCCCATTAATTTTATAGTACTAATAAAATGGGATAACATAACAAAGTAGATATGGTTCATTTGTGTTTTTAAGTGTTGAAAAATGTTAAAACTACCTATTAATTTAATTCATGATTACCTTTATCAAAAAATAGTGCTAGAGTAAGTCAGAACAGATTTATGGTTAGTAAACATATATTTATATTAATGTATACATGTGTGCACACATATGTATGTATATGTATATATGTGTTTATTTTGGTGGCACCAGAACATGAAATTAAAGGTGTACTTACAGACGTATATTATAAAATTTAAATGTATAATTTATTATAATGTAACAAGCTATTAGTGTGTATGAGAAAATCACTACTATTCTGGTATACATCAAGTAGGGTTTATGTTTTGGTAAAACTTAGCTGTGAATTTTCTATCACTTTAGTGGTTGTTGGTTAGGGAATCAATCTAGTACTGTATATCAGATATGTTGTATAATTCTATTGGGTAAATTAAGGTTTTGTAAATTTAAATACACTATTGTGAATTTAGTTTAGATGAGAGACTGTTTATTGTTAATGAAGCCAATAATTTTTTTTTTCAAAAGATACCTTTTATTATTACTATTTCACATTTAATCATAGTATATCATTAGAATATACAAAATGAATTTTCCCAGCATGAATACACTGTATATCTAGTCCAGTCAAAGATATTACCATATGCATTATTGTAAATAGATAATTCTCCATTTATGTGTCCCTTAAGTGTTTTGCTTCTTTTTTTTCCTTCTTGATTCCGTCTCTTTCAACATACCTCATTTCCCACCCTCCCACACTATCTCCAGTATCCATAGTTACTCTCCATGCTTTTATACCTTCTAATCTTTCAGTATTTGACTTAGTGTCCAGGTATTCAGTATATATTGAGTGGGGACATACAATGCCTCTCTTTCATAGGCTGGCTTGGTTTGCTTAACAGTAAATCTTTCATATTAGTCCATTTTCTATTGAGTGACAAAGTCTTTTTTTTTTTTTTAATGGCTGAGTAGTATTCTGTAGTATATATGTGCCACACTTCTCTATTTTTTTTTTTCCTAGAGAGATTTTTGCTACAGGGTGCATGTGCTCGCTGGAAAGATAGAAAAACGGAAAGCTAGAAATCATACCCTAAGGGAGAATGGCCATGTTGCAATCCCCTCTCCTCCATTCTCTTCTTGGGATTTTGGGCATGCCTGCACACACCTCTGGTGTGAGATTTATGTTGCTGGGTCTGGGACTTGAGCTTTGGTCAGCCATGTGGAAGTCTAGCTCCTTAACCTCTACACCATCTGCTTGCCCCTGTGCCACACTTTTAAATCCATTCATCTGTTTGTGGACATTTGGATTGGTTCCATATTTTGTCAGGTGTGAATAATGCCACAATAATCATGGATATTCAGGTATAGAAAAGCAAGGATTGGGTGGGCCCTGCTTCTCTGATAGAGAAGTTGTAACCAGGAACCAGCCTCAGGTTTTTTTGTTTGTTTGTTTGTTTGTTTGTTTTAAAGGGGAGAAAATGGGGGAAGAGGAAATGGGATATTAAGACAATGGGGGAGAAGGAAATAGAATGTCAAGTTGTTGTTCTGGGAGGTTAATCGACTGAAGATGTGAAAATGACAGGTGCCATGTAATTTCTCTAATCTTTTTTGGGAGAATATCTGATAAATACATGTAGCTTTCTTTAGCCTCATACTGCCCAACAGTACCAGGTATCAACAACAACAAAAAGATAACCGGTAACAATAGACAGAGAGTGCTTTTGTATATAAATGCTTCTCAATAACCATAGTTAAAGTAGCTCACAGAAATGCATTTCTACATGTGTCTAATGGTCACACCATGTTTTCTCAGATCGCTGCTCTCCACAGTATATAATCTTTCTAATGTGTCATTGGATGTGGTTTGCTAGTATCTTGCTGAGAATTTTTCTATCTGTATTTATCAGGGATATTGGAATGTAGATATAGTTTTCTTATTTTGTGATGCCCTTATTTTTGAGATGAGGGTAACAGAGGCCTCAGAGTGAATTTTAGGAGGGTTCCTTCTTTTTGGATCTTTGGAAATAGTTTGACTAGAATGGGGGTTAGGTCTTCGTTAAAAGTTTTTTAGATTTCGAAAGAAAAGCCATTGAGACCTGGGCTTCTCTTTGTTGGGAGACTATTTATTACCAATTCAATCTCATTGCTTTTTATTGGTCCATTCAGACTTTCTATGTCTTCCTTATTCAATCTTGGTGTATTATATGTGTCCAGAAATTTGCCATTTCACCCAGGTATTGTGTTTGTTAGCATATAAACATTTGTAGTATTCTCTGATGATGTTTTGTATTTCTGTTATGTCTGTTGTAATGTTACTGGCTTCATTGCTGATTAGATTTATCTGGTTCCTTTCTCTGTTCTTTTTTCTTTTTAACATTTATTTATTTATTTATTTATGATTTTCAAATTGCTGGGTCTGGGACTCAAACTGCAGTTGACCATGTGAGAATCTAGCATCTAAACCACCATGCCACCTCCTGACCCCTCTCTGTTCTTCTTAATCAGTCTAGCTAACATGTGTCAATTTTGTTTATCTTCTCAAAGAACCAGCTTTTGGGGACCAGAAGGTGGTGTGGTGGTTAAGGCGCTGGACACTCCTACATGGTCGACCGCCGTTCCAGTCCCGTATCTGGCGACTTGCTTTCCCACTTCCCCTCTTCTTGCTCTCTCTGTCTGTCTCTCTCTGGTCAAATTAAAATAAACGAATGAACAAATAATTGTTTTTTAAAAAAGAACCAGCTTTTCGGTTTTATTTTCTATGTAGTTAATTTATTCTCTTTTTCACTGATTTCAGCTCAAATCTTTATTATTTCTTTTCCCTTGACATTTTTTGGGCCTTTTTGTTGTTTTTTGTTCCCTGGGGTATGTTTTTAGGTTGTCTATTTGCCTCCTTTATATTTTTTTCTTCTGAGCACTAATTGCTATTAACTTCCCCCTTATGACTGCTTTCACTATGTCCCATAGGTTATCAAAATTTGTGGGGTGGTTATTATTGGTTTCAATGAATCTTTTAATATCAGTCTTAATTTCTTCAGCAGTTGTGAAGTCATTCATGAGTAGGCTGTTTAGATTGCATGTCTTTATGTATTTTTTTTCCTGCAGTTATTGGGCTGTCAGGAAAGTCATGATGCACTTTTGCATAGAAAAACACACAAAAAAATGTCATGACTTTCCTGATGACCTAATAATTTCAAGTTTTAATTCCATCATGGTTGGAGAGGATACTAGATATAGTTTCTATCCATTTGAATTTATAAAGGCTTGTTTTGTGTCCTATCATGTGATCAAGCTTCAAAAATGTTCCATACAGACTGAGAAAAATGTGTGTCTTGTGGTTGTTGGGTGGAAAGTTTTATGGATGTCTTGAAGTCCACTTGATTTATGATATTCTTTAGATCCTCTGTCTCTTTACTTATTTTTTGTCTAGATGATTTGTCCAGAGGGGATAGTGGAATGTTGAGATTGCCAAACATTATTGTTCTGTAGTCTGTCTCTCCTTTTAGAGCAAGCAGTCTATTTTTCATGTATTTGGGTGCTCCAGTGTTGGTTGTGTAGATATTTATAAGTGTTATCTTCTTGGTGAATTAGCCCTTTTAGTACTTTATAGTGGCCTTCTCTGTCTCTTCTTACAGTTTTTGTCTTAAAATCTATTTTGTCTGATATCAGTATTGGGACTCTGGCCTTTTTTTAAAATTATATTCTCTTGGAATATCTTTTTCCAGCCCTTCATTTTCAGTCTTTGTTTTTATTTGTGAGGTGTGTTTTTTGTAGGCAGCATTTAGAGGGTTCCTTTTTTTTTTATCCATTCATTCAGTCTGTGTCTTTTGATTGAAGCATTTAACCCATTCATTAACAGTGTTATTATTGTTATTTGCAGACTTGTTCCTGCCATTTTGTTATCCATTTTTTTGATTGTTTTTGTTCTCTCTTACTTCTTTTTGTTCTCCTTTAGTTTTCCTGATACAGTATTCCATTCATTACTTCTTGAAGATCTGGTATAGTGTTGGTGAATTCTTTCAGTTTTTGTTTAACTGAGAATTATTTTCTTTGTTCTTCCTCCATAAACAGAAGTCTTGCCGGATATAGTATTATAATATTCTTGATTGAAATTGTTTTTCATTTGGCATTTTGAATATATCTTCCTATTCTTTCCTTGCTTGCATTGCTTCACTTGATGGGTGAAGTGTTAGTTGTTAGTCTAATGGGATAACCTTTGTAAGTAACTTAACATTTCTCTCTTGCCATTTTTTGAATCTTGTCTTTATCTGCAATTTTGACCA